TCCCGGAGTTTGCTCAGTTTCATGCTCATTGCTTCAGTGATGCTATCTAACCATCTCAGGTATGTTGCTCATCCTTGATCATTTACAGGAGGTGATGCTGTAGATTCAGGCAGATCCTTGGATGAGAGCTACCAAACTAAGGTTCAATTTCAAAAACGTTGAGGCACTATCAGTTATGTGGTTCCTTGGTCCAGATGAGTGACTTTAGTTAGGGGAGGGGATGGAGCTGCATTTAACACTTGGTGGTACTGTTAGGTTAGTAACAGTCATTAGTGATCTAAATAACTCCTATAATGTGGAGTGCTTTTTAAAACCAGTTTAGTGGGTATTCTAGATATGCCTATATTTGGAGAAAAATATCTTGGATGCAATAATCTGTGATGTCTAAACTGCCATCAGAATTATTGTAATACACTATACATAGTCCTGCCTTTGAAAAGGGACTCACAAGGAAATAAGTAAATACAAGGCACAGAAAGAATATTAACTGAAAGCAGGTTTCCTTGCTGTATTTCAAGCTAAATAGACTGGAGAGTAACAAGGTCACTACAACAAACATATTAATACCTTTGTGAAGAAAAGTTATTCATGTACCTGGACTTGAAAATCTCATAAAACTTAAAAGGTATAAACAAAAAATGCCTGTTACTTTATAAACAGCACTGCCTGTCATTAGTTCCATGGAAACTAATTTTGTAATTTGCAAACCAACAAAATGCTATTCAGTAACTCATCCAGAGTTAGGATTCCAATTCTAACAACGGAGGAAAACCTATTTCAGCAAAAAAGCACTGAAATCTCTAATTGATATAATTGAGCAACTGAGCCACTAGATTGATGGAACAGAGAAAGGGAGCAGGTGTCCTGATTGAGGAGGAGATGGAAAGCCAAGAGGAAATCTTGGTACAGAAAAGGTAGAGGCACACTGTTGCTATTAAATCACTTTACAACAATTGTAAACACTCATCCACCCCCACCCCCACCAGTTTATTTGCCATGTATTTTACAGCAGAGTAAGATTGACAGGTTTCATAGGCAAGTCTGTCCATGCAGCCTCTAAGGCCAAAAGCATCCAAAATACAGTTGGTAATTGAAATAATTAAAATGCTGGCTAGTACAGTCTTTCTGGCATGTCCAAACTACTTGACAATATTTTATCATATTTAATTTGAAACTAATATAGGATTTCCTCATTATTAGCTTATATATAGCACTTAGTGTGCAAGAAGCTTTTCATTCTTTCTTTTATTGGTTCTTTAACTATCCTTCAATAGACCAAAGAACCTTAATTTTCCCAGCCAAAGTATCCATGTTTTGACTAGCAAATCCGTCAGGTTAGTATCTTCTGTGGCCTCAAGGAAGTAAACTGAAAGTGATGATTTATAAATGGCAATCATGTAGTCAATTAGCAAGTTCTGGATAAAAATGGCAATCATAGTCAGCAGGTTCTGAATAAATATATAAACAAGCACATTTTAAGTTTAACTTTTATATGAGTTAATCTGTGGACCTGCCAGTTACTATGTTCTGTCAACTCATCTTCCCAATTTCTTGGTCTTAAGAGTGAAAAGGAGAATAATAATTATGTGTGTGTGTGTGTATTTGTGTGTGTGTATAGGAGTTCTATTTGCATACTATGGAGTCCTATCTACACAACATTTTTGTTGTAGTATCTCAGTATAATCCCACTAAGATATGAGGAAAGTCTCTCTGCTTGTGGAAACAGTGAATCATCACACTGATGTGATCTCAAATAAAAATTTATATCCCATCAAACTGAACAAAATTCAACTCAAGCTGATTTACAACTATTTAAAATAACCCATATAACAAATATTGTTTAACAAACAGAAAACACCTGTCAAGAGAGCACAAGCTGTAAAAACAGATCATTCTGAATTTGAACAGGTTCCAAAAAGTAACATCTACTGTAAAACTGTTTTCAAGACATGCATAAAAATGGGCAACTTTCTTTAGGATGGCAATGCTTGTAAAATATGAGGCATGGAAGATAAAATGGACTGTAATAAAATTCAGATGCTTTCTACCAGGCTTAGTTGAATCATATCTGCTGCTTGTAGCCTTCTAAAATCAGAAGCTAAGACTATAAAATAGCCATTACTTCAATACCTCCAGTTGTATTAGACTACAGCTCCCAGAATTCCATGCCAGCAGAGTCAGTTGGCATTGAATTATGTAGAAATAAGACTTCAAGCTAAGAAAATTACTCTTGCATGATCATTGTTTCCATTGATTTGCAAAAAGCAGGTGACCATTACAGTTTTTCTCTTTTGCATAGTGCTGACGAATCCCACGCATCCAACTCCTAGCAGTCCTCTACACATACCTGATGATCAGACACAAAGCCACAGGCCTATCGCTTGTGCTTCTTCTTTCCTAAATGGAAGTAAGTTACAGTTCCCCTTTGAGTGATTATTAAAATGGCTCCTTCTATGGTCATAACATCTTCTAGTTACCATTGGAGTTTACCAGGATTGTGCACTCTGGAATCAACACAAAGCCTTCTGGTGCTGCATAGCTTCCTAAAGTTGTGGATGTTGTACCGCCAGTTATGTTACATGATAGAATCATTAGTTTGGCAGGGATTTGAAGATTGTCTAGTTCAATTATCTGCACAGTGCAAATCCTCAAACGTAAGAATGTTAACTACATTAAGATGACGTGGTCCTCTAATCTCTGTTTCTAGTGGAGAATCCCCAGTTTCCAAAGTCAGATTAGTGCACTGTTAAGCAATTCTTAGAAATTTCTCTTATACTTATCTGAATTCTGCTTTCCAACAATTTCCATGCATTGTTTATGGAGGAAAGGGAAAACAATATCTTCTGTGTCAGCCATTCAGAAATTTAGTAACATTTCTCCCCTTGATTTTCTGCACCCCAGGTTTAAACTTTCAACTGTTCCTCATCTGTTTGAAATACCACAGATAGGCAAATAGTAAAGCCTTTCTGTTCATCTGGTTTAATGCTTTCTATAATTTCTTTGTACTGTATCCATGCTGGAAACTGTTTCCAAAAAGATACTACTTATGTGCTGTAGATCAACTAGTAAGAGTTCCTCAATTAGTGAGAGTTAAACCAGTTACCAAATGCTTATAGTTGACATCAAACAAATCAGCATTATTACATACCAGAAAAACTTAAAAGATGCCAGTAAGGTTAAGCCAATAATAAATATACAGGAAAATGTTTTTTTGAAGGGGAAATAGATGGTTATTGGCCTCTGTTTATCCAAGTCTTCTATTCATATTATGTAAAAAAGGCTTTTATAAGAGAGTCACTAAATACATAAAAGAGAGTCACTAATACATAAAAAGTTATTGATTCTAAACAACATAACAGAAGTGGGATTTGATATTAGGTATAAAAAAGAGATTATATATTTCATGTGGGACTGAGTATCTGGCTCCCTATTTAGAAATGTTGCAAAGTAGGGCTTTTGACTTCCATTGATACAGGGGGTCCTCATTTAGTGACCACTCGTTCTGCAACCATTCAAACTTACAACATCACAATGAGTGGTACTCATGTCTGGTCCTCAAAGTTCTGACTGTCGCAGTGTCCCCATGGTCACATGATTGCCCTTTGTGACCTCTTTACTGGCTTCCTACAAGCAAAGTCAATGAAACTGGCAGGAGGTCACAAAGGGCCACCACATGACATCCTCACTTAATAACCTGCAGTGATTCGCTTAACAACGGCAATTGGAAGGGCCAGAATTCCTGTTAAGTGGCACAGTCACATGATGTCACGCTTTATGACCATGTTGCTTAGCAAGAGGAATTCTGCTCCCAATTGCCGTCATTATCCAAGGACTACCTATATTCCATATTCTCTACTGCTGTGTTGAATATGCTCTGTCCTATTGGGCTGTTTCTTTCAGGGAGAGGCAGGATATACCACCACATCAAATTTTTAGCTGTCTCCCCATTGCAATCAGGGTACCTGTTTTTTCAGTGATAATAAATTGGAGATGATCAGCAATCTTTCTTCAATATTCCCTACTCCAGCCTTATCCTCATATAGTGGGAAACCTAGATTAGCGAATCCAGAACGGAGAAAGCTAAACAGATGGATAGAGAAAGACAGGAGGGGTAGAAATAAATACTGTCAACAGCAACAGCAGAGTATTCAGTAAAACTCAGTATAACAATATAGGTAAGGTAGAGACAATTCCAGCTAAAAATCAGTGGTGGCAAGGCAGCTGTGTTGAGACCACCTCCCCCTCTCCCCAAATAAAAACCAAGATCTTTATTAGAATACAGCTAGTCTCCGGGTTAAGAATGCCCAGGTTACAGACAACCCATAGATAAGAATGGAGCCTATTGTAGCAAAATCTGAATTAAATGCACAATGATTTGAGTTAAATTCACAATGGTGTGGGTTCATTACACAATGCTACTTATATGGTAGTATACAGTAATACTGTTCCGGCTTACATACAAATTCAACTTAAGGACAGACCTTGGGAACGGAACTCGTTCTTAAACTAGGGACTACCTGTACCTCTTAAGTGTTCATTACACAATGCTACTTATATGGTAGTATACAGTAATACTGTTCCGGCTTACATACAAATTCAACTTAAGGACAGACCTTGGGAACGGAACTCGTTCTTAAACTAGGGACTACCTGTACCTCTTAAGTGTTCATTACACAATGCTACTTATATGGTAGTATACAGTAATACTGTTCCGGCTTACATACAAATTCAACTTAAGGACAGACCTTGGGAACGGAACTCGTTCTTAAACTAGGGACTACCTGTACCTCTTAAGTAAAAAAAATGCACGTCATTTGTAAATGTAATTGGGCAGTTCTCCTTGTCACATCTTTGCTCTTCTGTCACTGTATAAAGCAACAGACGGGTTTGATTTTACATTAAAGATCAACAGAAGTGAAAGAACTTCAGCCTTAACTGCAGGTATCACTGTTCCGGCCACACTGGAAAAAGCATTGGATGGAAAGTTGTGGCAAAAGAAGGTTCCTTTCTCTCCCCTATATATTTCTTTTGATAGAACAGACCCTGTCCCGTTTATAAGCAAATTAGACAGCCACACAATTAAACAACATGTGGCACTCTATCCTTTATAGTTTGGGCCACGTTGGAAAAAATCTATTGGGACATACTTCATTTTCTACTGAAAAGTCACTAAGTAGTGAGGTTTACAAATGGCACGATATACCGGGACAAAAAAAGGAGATCATAAGAATATGACCAGTAAGAGTGAGTCATGTAAACTTACTATTAGGTGGAACTTAGGGAACCCAACAGCACAGCTAGGATGGACAGGGAGATGCAAGGTTAGTCAGTAAAGTAACTTCAAGCTGCATGATATGATTTATTTGAAAATTCAGACAGAAACCCTGAGTTACCAGCTACACAATCAGTTAAATTAAAAAAAAAAAAAAGGAAAAGAGCAACAAAGACTTTTTTTGGTTGCACTTAGCATCATGGAGGTGCTGGACTGTGCTGTTTGGCAGAATTACAAACAAACAAACAAACAGAAACCCTCTCCCCTTTCTCCATATAGAAAACCTGGACATCTTCACCACAGGAAAGCATTTTCTTGTAGGCCCATTGCACATTGAAAAGCTAGATAGATTTCAACTGGATTTGAGGATTTAGAAAAAGCACAGTAATTCCAACCCGTCAGACTGAGTTGTCTCCAATCACATGATGTTGAAAAGGGAAAGAGGGAAGAGGTGGAACAGAGTTATGCAGAACTGTCTTGAGGAGCAGCCACATGGCTTGGATAATAAGGAGCAGGAAGTTCAGCTTGTGCACACGAGAACTCACAAATCATGTAAAAAGTGTGTGTCTGTACAGAGGGAATCCTTTAAAAAACAAAAACAAAACATCTCCACTGGAGTGATCACGGTGAGAGAAGCAGAAGAAAGCACTGTTTCAGCTGTATCAGGTTTGAGTTGCAGAGATATCAACGTGTCTAAGGCATGGCCATTTGCAGGTAGAGGTGTTTTGCAGGAAGATTATTGCATGTTCATCTTCTTACCTACATCTACACAGATTCCTTTTTAAATAGCCTCTCTGTTCATTTAAGAAAACAACAACAACAAAAAAGACATCCATGAGGAGAACAAGAGCTAATCTTTCTGAAGGCACTTGGCCCTGATGGACTTCTTGGTGGAGTGACATTTTCCTGTTCCCCTGGAATTCCAGGGGAGTTTGTGCAGAGTCACAACTTGGAGTGAGATGGGGAATTACCCTGCATTCCCATATCACAGAGTTGTAGATGGGAGCTTCTTAACCCGCCTCTGTGCCAAGAAAGAGGCCTCAATAGGCTTCAGTTGGGGACTTGGCTTTGAGTTGTTCAATGCAGAGTATGTGGCAGCCATGGCACCCTGGAAGAGAGAAGAGCCACAGGTGTTTGTTTAAGAGACAGATATATATATAAGATATATAGGTTGTGTGCTGGGGGAGGATTGATCACCAAGGTTGACATAATTGACTATCTGCTGATAACTTAAGCCTCCAAAGCACTAAACAATTCACTATCCTAACTAGCCATACTGTTCGGACACATAGCATTTTCATTTATTTACACATTCTCAAGAATCCAACCTTTTCCTGCTGATATCTGACGGGCATCAAGTTGAGGAAGGTGGTTTTAAAATATCATTCCAGAGTGTGGTCTCCCAAGATCCCACTTCAATGTGCAATGATGATAGGAGCAACTGGTAGACTTGCTTTTGCTAGTGCCACAGCTCTTATTAATGTCACAACTAACTGCAGTTCCCCACTGAATGTATCTGGGGTAGTAAAATCATTTACTGTGTAAAACAGCTCTGACTTGTTCTTAAAGAAATGTAATGGCCAGTGTTCCTCAAAGGACTGCAGCCTTCCTTTTTTTTTTTTTTTAAATTGATGCTTTCAAATCAGTCTTAACTCCTAGCACTTCCTGGACAAGTCCCTGCAGTTTTCTTGGCAAGGTTTGTTGGAAGTGGTTTGCCCTTGCCTCCTTCCTAGGATTGAGAGAGAGTGTGACTCAGCTGGCTTTGTGCCTACAGCAGGACTAGCCTGGTACCTTAACCACTACACCAACTTGGCTTTCTAGGCCTTTCATTTACAGACTAGAATTTCTCTCTCTCTCTCTCTGGCTAGTGGTTTCCTGCTAGGAGAAGCAGGTCCTGCCAATTGGGAGACATTTCCCCTAGGAAAAGCTGTATCTAGCCAGGCCCAAGATCTAGGTGGAGGTTTTGACCTAAACAATCTTAAACAGCCTAGATCTAGAGTATCTGAATAATGGTTTCCCAGGGGTTTTCTATCATGTGTAACTGCACACACCTAGGGCAGGGAGAGGGAGCAAGAGAGAGAGGGACCTGCTGTTCCTGTTCTTCTTCTGGGTTTACTCTAGTATGTTTTCATGATTGGTTTTTTTTTTAAAAAACAAAATTATACTATCAAGTAGGGTGTAGGAACACAGAAGTGCCAATTTCAAAGGACTTCTTCACCCAGACTAGTATTGTCTACTTTGTCTTGGTGGTTTTTTTTTTTAAACATGAGATGCCATAGACGGAACATGGATTTCCCGTAATCCGAGCTATGCCAACCTCCCTCTCCCATATGGTTTCTCTTTCTCTTTCCTCACCGACCCAAGGGTATTGAGAGAAAACTAGGGCCATTATGGCAAAGCGTTTACACTTTGATATGCTATGGATTGCTTTTGAGGTCAGGAATGGATGGTCTTCACAAACAAGATCTTTTCTATGCACCTGTACAGTCATTGCTTTGTGTCTCGATAGGTACTGGATGGGAGAAGAGAATAGATCTTTTCACAGCCAATACATTAAGTATGACAGAATAGGGCAGGAAACATGCATATCTCTTCAACCCCATACCTTTACAAGCTGTACATCCTGGTGACTTAATTGGCTCTGAGGCAACTTGTCCTTCTGGGTTATCCATGGGTGTTGGAGTACCTGTTTGGCAGTCAAACGCTGATGTGGATCAACATGGAGCATCTTGGATACTAAATCCTGCAATAAGTATTCAGAAAACAGCTGCTGGGTATCATTTTTCCTTTGTAGGTTTCTTGGCTACACCAAAGTCAATGCTGTTCCTTAATTCATCTGAAAGTTGCTTCTAGTTTGTATACCTGGGAGCACAATACCTAGTTAGCCAAGAGTAACTTACTTCCTTCCTTCCTTCCTTCCTTCCTTCCTTCCTTCCTTCCTTCCTTCCTTCCTTCCTTCCTTCCTTCCTTCCTTCCTTCCCTCCCTCCCTCCCTCCCTCCCTCCCACATTTGGGCATTGTGTCTGAACCTAATCCCTGGCTTGTTCGTTTTTTTTTTTTTTTAACAAAGCAGACATAAGGCAGAGTTTGTTCTCTAAATAAACCACTAAATGGCATCTCTCATTGGTTTAGGTGCTCATTCTAGCCAGAGAAACCAAGCAGGCACCACCGCATAGCAGACCCTGACATCCTTTTCATTCACACAACAAAGTGCAAACCACCTTTTTTGGGAGCTTAAGGAATCCATAGTTTCCTTCATTTATCATTCCTCTTTTTTATTTCCTTGTAACCTTTTGATCGCCTAGTCAAGTAACCCCCAAAATTAAATCAGACAAGTTAGTTTTAGACCCAAATAACCGCACGGCTATTGGAGCCTGAACTAACTCCTGGCCAGCTCAGGGTTAACGGACTGTTAACTCTCCCTGCTTCTGAAACAAAACGACCTGCAAACATGGGGCTTCACTACAACCCCCTTTTTATTTTGCACCTTCCACTCCACCACAAGTGAGTGGAAAGAGGACAAAAAGGAGAGTAAGTAAGCCCCCCCCCCAGCAACTCTGACCACAGTGATGCTTACCCCAGTTGGATCACGATGGTAATTTTTGCTTTTCTTTTTTCATTTGCCAAAAGAGAAAGAAGATGAACCCAGGCTGCAACGCAACCTTTGGAGCAGTTGCAAGCACTTTAAAAAGAATTCCTACAGAAATGACTGGGTCATTTGTGATCACGCACTGGCAAATCAGGGAGCCGAATTAATTGTTCTAGGAGGAGCAGATGTGGTCCATCATGTTGTCCCAACAGAGCCAACATCTCTGGCTTTCTAACTCAAGAAAAAAGTGGGTGCCTATGTGAGTTTGGGGGTAAACAACAAAGGTATATAAAATGATGCATGCTGTGTTAAAAACAGGTTGGAAGATGTTTTTTAAAAGCTTCCCTGTTCCCTCTCTCCTAAAATTAGACTCATTCAATTAAACTGAATTGTGGTAGAATCGGGACAGATAAACAGCTTGTTTTGTTATGCAGTGCATAATTTAACCGTGGGACTGGTTACCACAAGATGGAGTAAAGGCTGCCAAATTGGGCAGCTTTAGCATTCCCGGATGGTGAGGTTATCAAAAGCCCCTGATCATGATGGTTAAAAATTACTCTCCAGTATCAATGCTCATCGTTACGAGCATGGACAGGAGAGTGTGGTGGCACTCCCAGAGGCACCTGGCCAGCCACAGGATGAACAGAAAGCTAGCCTAGATAAGTCCCAGTGTCAAGTCAGAGGGCTCTCATGGTCTTATGACTGAAGCTGGAAGCTGCTTTCTCACTGCCTGAGCTTAAAATGCTAAACCTTACTTTGGCCGCATCAGAAACAGTGTTCCAATTTCCTCCTCTGAGGGAAAACTTCCCTCCACCTATCCGAGTAAGGATCTCTTCGGGAGTATCACTGGGCCCATTTGCAAATGGAGTATACCTGCAAAAGGAGGGTGGGGGGAGAATGACCACAACCACCTATTTTAATACATGCAATACCACAATGTCCAATGGGAGAGAGGAATAAAGCAGAACATACAAAGCAGTGGGTGAAAGTAGACATGGGTAAAGAAGACCGGAGGACTGCAAGGAGAGAGATCCTCCTCCTCCTCCTCCTCCACCACCACCACCCCAATGGCACCCAGTTCCCAGGAAACCCATTCAACTCCTGGTAGAGATTTAAGCACATACTATTTTCACTGCCCTGGTGACTCTTTAAAATCACAGAAATCCATGCACATTCTCAGCAGAAGTCGAGATTCCCAAGAGACAAACAGAGACAACTCTGAACTGGGAGATTTCATAATTCATTATAATTATGAGCGTGTAATAAGTCACAGTGCCCTATTATAGAGCTGAATCATACGGTCTAGTCTGTTAATGATTGGTTGGGAATGGAAGATTTGCTGTGGGGCAAAGAATTGGCTGGCCTGACCTTCAGGTTTGTTCCAGTTCTCCAGTTTAACAGTGACTGCTAATAAATGCCTGTAGCAGTTTGGAGATGTACAATCATTTCCTAATTCTTAAGACATATTATAATGAGGCTGGGTGGGTTTTATCAATAGCCAACTTATGGAGAATCCTGCCTGAGAAAAAGAGAGAGGCTTCAAATGCCATGCCCTATTTTAAGCAGAACAAAAGGACTTTTCTTAATGGGGGAGGGGATGTGATTCAGAATACAATTCCAGGTAAATCAATTCTTTGCTCATTGATGGGAAGGTTAGGCTTAACATGTTGTGTGAACTCACTTCTACATTATAAGCTAGTTCCCACAACTTCTTAAGTCAACCCTTCCAAAAATCACTTTGGGTTGTGTTGACTCTAACTGCTGTGGTGCATAGGACATGACTGATACCCACAGGTGATGTGAACCCAGCAATTTGGACATATTCAGCAAAACAAACTTAAGGAAACCATGGCTTAATAATAGCAAAGTTGTTGATAGCAGGGCATATGCTTTGAAGGTTCAATCTCCAGATTAAAAAGAGCAGGGAGTAGGGAATGGAAAAGATTTCTGCCTGGGGATGCAGGAGAACCACTGTGGGCTGGTCAGTCAGTCCCACAGCATCGATCCTCTACATTTCAAGGGTAGTAGCAGCGAAAGCCAACCATGAATCAGTTTACGCTTTTTGGTTGCTGCTCTTGATTTGGAAGCAACTAATTTGGGGGTCCCTGGATGCTCTCTAGGGAAGAAATGTATGTTCCTTGGTACTCACTCTAAGATCAAACTCATTCTCTTTTGCTGCCTGTAACTGAATCATCTTGCTGATGAAGAGTTCTGCTTTAACAGGCATCTATCTCTAGCCCAAATGGGACTGATTAAGAAAGTTATTGATTTAATTTTTTAACAGCTTACAAGTTTTAATCCAATAAATCCTCAAAAAGGTGTTCCTGAAAAAAGAGGCAGTTTATTATCATTTTTTGAATACAGCAGATAATAAGTACTCTTAAACAGAAGTACCTTCTTACATATATGAGGGAATCCAGTTACGTATCTCATCTGTCACAAATAAATCTATCACAAATAAAGGAAATATTGTGCATGTGTTGTTTCAGAAATTTTTTTTTTAATCTTCAGGCACATTAAAAAATAAAAATGACTAAAACTGGTATGGTCTATCAAACTGTATTAAGAATGCTCATCTGATGTAGTGGTTACACCAGGATGGCACTTGGTAAATATCGATGAACTACAGCTCCCAGCATCCCTCACCACTGGCCACATTGGCTGAGTATGCCGTGCACTGTAGTGTAGCAATACTGAGTTTAAAGTTGCCTCCCCCAAATTAAGAATGCTGCCGAATCTCAAACAGGAGATTCACTAAAGCAATCTCAAGCTAGTCGCGCCTATCAGTTGCATTCACCCCCTCTGTGCTAAGCATGGCTTGCTGGGTTCACATTGTGCACTAGACCATGACTCGTGATTCACAAACCATAATGGCTAGGTTCACACAACAGACTGAACCAAACCCAAGCCATACAATGGCTTAACTCAATATATGAATTCAGCACAATCTTTCACCCTGTCCTGCCTCACAGAACGACTGTGAGGATAAAAAGCAGAGGTTGAGGACCCACCTATCTATCCAGCATTCTCTGGAAGGAGGGTGGGTGGAATGAAAATATAATAAATAAATACAGCTGAAACTATTGTTCTCCAACAAAACACAGTATAGCCATCTTACCCAGCTAGCATTGTGTAGAGAAGGATTCCTAGGCTCCAGATGTCACAGGCCTCATCATAGCCTTGACGTTTCAAAACCTAAATAAGAACAAGGAAACATGGAGATATAATTATCAACCCTAGGAAGAAGGGGAAAAACATTGACAAGAAGGGAAAGCAATGAAGCTGGTAGTTCTCCCTGCTAATTTTTCTTAGTTCTGAAAAAGAGAAGTAATAAAAGTAGATGGGTGACATCTCCAGCAATCCAAAAATCTGCAGAAGACCAAGAGGTAGGAAGCAGCTCCATTCTGAGTTTCTCCTCTCTTATCATTCCTGCGCGTCCTGATAAGAAGATGACCAGTACTGCCTGGTCTCCTCTATCTTTACTTATCCTCTTTCCTTTTCCTGTTTGTGTCATTTAAAAAAAGCCAGTCAATTCCAATAATTTCCAGCTATTGGCTGTGCTGGCCAGAATGCTGGCAAGTATAATTTCCACCAAAGGGTGTTTTAAATACAGTATAGTTTCAAGAAAGCAATTGGTCTAATCAGCAACCATAACTATGAATAGTTTCTAAGCAGGGAGAACTACATTCTCTATACATAGCCTTCCCCATGGTGAATCTTCCAGATGAATTCAGTTTGCAAAACCAAAGATTCCCAGCTTGTTTTTTCTAGTTAAAATGGAAATGTTTCACTCCATACAAAAATGTCCTCCTTGCAACTGCAGAACATCCCATTCTTGCCTCCTAGCATCACTTCTCCCCTTTGTCTAAGTTAGCATTCTCCCATCTGCTCTTCTCAGGAGGTATGGATTACATCCCACCCAGTTCAGAATGGTCACGTTATAATCCTCCCAAACAATCTGGAGGGAGTCTGCTTGATAGAGGCCAAGACTAGTTCAAAAAGGACATAAGGGTTCCCCTAGACCTATCAGCTAAACAGAGGTAGCATTTGGAATTCCAGGTATAGAGGATACCATGAAAGTGCAAGAAAGAAAGCCATCAGAATTTTGTGATAGTTACCAAAATTCACATCTAGTTGGAAACAATCACAAGAGAAAAAACCCAGTTTCTATGTTGGCCTGCATCTCCAAGCCCAAGCATGCTGATACGATTTGGGGGAAATCTGAATGTTCCTGAAATGGATGACATTAGTAGAACAAGGATGTTTTACTTGGGAATTTGACCCCAACAAACTCAAGATTATGAGCTGCTTACCTCTGGAGCAACAAAGTTGGCAGTATAGCAAGGGGTCATGAGGAGCCCATTGTCTGCCCTCAGTTGCTTGGCAAACCCAAAGTCACAAATACGAATAGACTCAGGGTTGCTGGACTCATCTACGTAGAGGATGTTGCTAGGTTTCAAGTCTCTATGGACCACCTGTAAAGCAAAAGTGGAAACTGCAGGTCATAAGTTTGCTACTGCTTCCTTCCAATTTACAGGCAAACACTCCAGTTCCAGATGTTAAACTTTATTCTAATACAACTGCAATGCATTTATTTGCTGCTCTTTGGTTACAGAATCCCTAATAAGGATTACAAAAATAAACAGAAAAAAGGGCACAATAAAACAGAAGCCACAATGTACTGATAATTAAAGAGAAAAGGCTTGTTAAACTAATTCTGCAATGCAGGCTAAAGTCAACACTAGGCTAAACCCACAGATTTCCACCGCAAAAGTGTTCTAGAGCAGTGTTTCTCAACCTCAGCAACTTTAAGATGTGTGGACTTCAACTCCCAGAATTTTGGGAGCTGAAGTCCACACGCCTTAAAGAACACTATTCTAGAGATTTGGTGCCACCAGAGGGAAATAATCATTGTCTCTGGTTTGTATGTGTCAAATCTCATGTGACAACTGAACTTATAGCCAAGACAAAGCAGAAGCCATTGCTTTAAGGAAGGCGCGTGTGACCTTCTTCAAATTCAACGTGGCACCAGCAATTAGGTACTGACATCTGCCAAATACTTGATACTCATCTCTCCAGGTGAAGCTCCTCTGACATTTACCTTGTACTTCCTCCACAGCCTGATGGTAGTTTTCTTGATTCCACAGTCCTGATTTTTTTTAAAAAAATTTAACCCCAACCCTATGGATTTACCCTGATTTTTCCTAGTTTTGAAATTTGTTTTTGCTTTTCACACACTTCTCTTGTGCTGCGTTTTATTATATATAAGCAACCCAGGTAATTGTTATTTGCAGAACAAATTAAAATGGGCCACGCACATAAAAGTTTGATACGCATAAAAAGCAGGCAGAGCTTTGATCACACCATTGCAGCCGTCATCTTGACTTTGTGACCGTTTATATTTATTTATTTATTTATTTATTTACCAAATGCCCTCCAGACACTCCTGCCTCTTTTCCTCAAGAGGCGCAGGGAAGGGGGACAGTTCTTGCCAGCATCTCCTACTTACCCCTTGGGAGTGAAGATATTCCACGGTCTTGCAGATCGTGTGTAGGACGGAGCTCGCTTCTCTTTCCGAAAAGCACTTCTGCTTGAGAATCCTGTCCAGCAGCTCCCCACCTCTCATTAGCTCAGTCACCAGGTAAACATGTTTGCCATCATCATACACCTGCCAAATGGATATTTCTGAGTAGGTCTGAGAAAAATGACTTAACTTTCCCCAAACCATTTACAAGTCTACCAACTTCACATACTTCCAGCGTGAGGCCCGGAAACTGCACAGGAGGCAATTCTGCACAGCATCAAGATTTGCTCTACAATGTCAGGAACAGCATCTCAACAACCTTGGGGTTGGCATGTACGAGGTCCAGGCTATGAAACAGCTGCCTGCCTCTCTCTCTCTAGCAGTATCATGCTGAATCAGAATTGACAGGCATGCCAGCAGAAGTAAGGTGGACTACCCTTTTTTAGGGCACCATACACAAAGGGTCAACTCTTTGTAACTCCTGCTTGTTTTCTGTTCTCTTCTACTTCAACAACGCACCCCCTGCAAAGAGGAGGCTCTGTTGCAGGCACCAAGAAAGAATTCAGAACTGCCTCTGAACACAGCTTCAAAAAGTGTATGTCTTCTACAAATCCTGCGAGGCCACTAATCTGCAGAGCCCATAGCTGTGAGCAGATCTAATGTGGCAGTGAAAAAGAGAGCAAAGAGTTGTTTATCCACAGGTTTACACTTTTCACTGATGAACTACAAATATTCTCATCTGCTGTCCTGCTCCAATCACGAGTGAACAAATACTTGTATTCCAACTGCTTTTTCCCCCACAAGCCCAGGCCATCGATTAGCTCTATTCTGCTATGACACTCACATCCTTCAGCGTGATGATATTTGGGTGCTGTCCGTACCGTAGGAGTATCTCAATTTCCTCTGAGGGGTCTCGCTTGCTCTTGTCTATAACCTGCAAGAAGTATATGCTTTCTTACTACAAAGTAACAGCCATTTTTAGAGTTTAGATTATGTTTGAAAGTTGAAAACACGGCATATATATTTAATTGCAATCTCTCCAATATCCCTGCAAGGTGTTATTGCTTAATTATTCACTGTACTTCTAGACCACCCAATAATCATAGTCTTGAGGCATGTACAAAGCAATTAAAACATACTATAAAATATAAATTAAGCCAATATAAAAAGGCTTAATTCATAACATTAAGTACAGCATCAATATAAAAGTAGCAAGAAAGGCAGAATGAAAAGAATGTAATTCTAAAAACTCTACAATATTTTTTTAAATTCCTGGAAATATAGGAAGGACAGTGTGATGTGTGATGCAGGCATGTAAAACATCATTTGCACAATGATGTGCACTTTATGATCTACCCCCCAACCTGAGATGCCTGTACAGTTAACGTGGCTGTGGTGAGATGTGAAATCAGGGACTTTTCAGCTCATTCAACTCTGGGGTTACATCAGTTCACACCCAAGATTTGCAAATACAGTGACATGAGCCTAAGACTTTCCTGTGTACACAATTCCAACTTTGCTCCCCTTCATTATATCTACAAGGAGGCATCCCTTTTAAACTAATTGTGAGATTTTAGAAGATTTCACTGTTCTTAGCCTCGGCAAAAGAGAAAATTCTGACCTTGACTGCGTATTCTGTGCTGGTTGCCTTGTGAATACAGCGCTTGCACACAGAATAAGATCCCACACCAATGGCTTCTTTTACCAAATAACCATCATTAAACTGGAGATTCTTCCCATGCAGCTGCTACAAGGAAAGACAATAAGGAAAATTCAGGTTTGCTAGACTATACACAAAGTTTATGAAAGTCTCTCTGTTGCTGAAGCAGGATGGAGAAACCCAGGTAAGGCTGGGTATATACTGTTTTCATATAGTTTTCCCAGACTGCTTTCCCAATTAAAGTTCCCCTCCTCACTAACCTAAATTGGCACTAAACGTCCCAGGACAAATAGCAGCTTTGGAGCAGGTTAGATCCATCAGATGCAAATAGTGTGTTGAAATTCACAGAGTTTACGTAGAATGCATACAAATCATCTTGACAGATACATAAATTGGCAACGATAAGTTCATGTACGCACGCGTGCTTGCTAAGTTAACAGACAACTTCCATGTGACTTTAGATGGCATGCAAATTGTTGCTTGATTTAGGAATAAACCCTGCAAGGATTCCAGGGAGAGTCCTGCAGCTTTTGAAGTGTTTTTCAAGAACTCTCAGGCCTTTCCTTACCTGAACTACCGAATGCAAAGGGATAGGCGGGGATTTAGCTTTCTCATCCTCTATCAATCCAGTGGCCACAAAACTGAATCCTCGGAAGAGCTGATGGGCTCCAGCACTAGGTGGAATTCCAGGGGAGTCTGGAACAAAAAAGGCAGAAAAGACTAGAACTCAACTCATTGGAACCGCAGCATGTCAGGAACTGACCATTTGCTGTTCCTTCCCCAAAAGACAGAGCTACAATAAGACATGCTAGCCCAGTGTTTTTCAGACTTGGCAACTTTAAGATGCGTGGACTTTCAAGCATGTTGGCTGGGGAATTCTGGGAGTTGAAGTCTATCACCTTTAAAGCCCTACATGGCATGGGACCAGGTTATCTAAGGGATCGCCTCTCCCCTATGACTTCAACCCATCCCACCCAATCACACAGAGAGGGCATGCTTCGGACCCCCTCAGTAAAACAACTTCAATTAGCGGGGTCCAGAAGGCGGTTCTTCTCTGCGGTTGCCCCCACTGGTTGTAACAATCTGCCCCCCGA